CAAAAGTTAACGCAAGGTGTCGACACCCGAAAGAAGTGTCGACACTACGCCCGTGACGGGAATTCTGATATCCTTTACATCCTCAATCTAACTCCCTGTTTCGGTCCACAAGCCACACCCGACACACCCACTGACCCACCAGCCCTTGATCATGCATTGACTATAGCTGAATCCACTTCAGTCAATGAATGCTCAATAAGCCAACATGAGCCCCCATTACACAGCACCTAAATCACAAGCCCTTCAGTGATACTTTCCTCTTTCAAACATATCCTATTTAACTTTGCTAAGACAAGAAGCAGGATTGATTAACCAATCTGAAAGATTGGCGAAACACCTGGGTTTCCTAGCTTTGATCCAAGCAAAAGATCTTAATTGAATAAGTTCAAAAAGTTTGATCAAATTTACCTCAGCATTGTCAAAAAGCATTTTGTTGCGCGCCATCCACACCGTCCATAACAGTGCATTCCATATGCAATCCCACCCTTCCTTTTTGTGAGGTTTTTTGGTCCACTCCCCCAAGTGTTGAAATGTTGGCCTGCATTCTTTTTGTAAGATTATTGTGATTCCCCACCACTTTGCACAAGCCTTCCACAGCCACTGAGCAACTAAGCAGTTCAAGAACAAATGGCTTGAGTCTTCCTCCTCTTCCTTACACAAAATGCATTTCTTTTCTCCCACATCTTTTAAGATTCCCCGTTTGAACAAATTAATTCTAGTTGGGATTCTATCCATTAGTACCTTCCAGTTGAAAGCAGCTACTTTCGATGGGATGGTCGGATTTCATACTCTCTTTGACATTTTCTCCTCCTCTTCATCCCTCCCTTGTTTTGCTAATATTGCATAAGCTGTTGACGTTGAATATTGTCCATCAACGCTATGTATCCACTCCCATCTGTCTGCACACCCTGGGGAGATTTTAACTTTGTCGATTGTCTTCCGCAGCTCTTTTTCAGCCTCCTCCTCCCACTGGAACAGGGCCCTTCTCCATGTCATGTTCCACTTCCATGTACCGTTGCTGTCTTCTCCCATTTGCTGGCAATCTTTTTCCTTCCCTGTTGACAATACATACAATCTAGGATATATATTCGCTAGGCAGTCCTCCCCACACCACTCATCCCACCAAAAACTCACTCCTTTCCCTTCCCCAATCTTAATTCTAAATCCCTCCGTCAACCATCCCTCACTCCCATCTTCCCTGACATTGAGACTTTGTATGTCTCTCCACCAAAGAGAACCTGTCCTTCTTCCATCTCTCACCCAGCTCATCCACTGACCCCCATTTCCTCCATATTTTCCTTTTATGACTTTCCCCCAAAGCCCTTCTTCCCCTTTCGCTAACCTTCCCCACCATTTTCCCATTAGCGCCAGATTAAACTTTCTTAGGTTCTTCACTCCCAGGCCTCCACACACCTTCTTCCTACACACCCTTTCCCAGCTCACCCATTTGATTTTATTCTCCTCCCTCGACCCACCCCATAAAAAGTTCCTACGTATTTTATCTAAAGAGTAGAGAATACCTTTGGGGATTTTGTAGGCCGACATCAAATACACGGGTAAACTGGACAGCACAGAGTTTAAGAGCGTGATCCGACCTCCAAGGGATAAGTTTTGACCTTTCCAGCTAGCTAGTTTCTTCTTGAAAGATTCCATCAGTGGCTTCCACATTGCTAACTTTCTGTGATTCCCTCCGATTGGAATTCCCAGGTACTTGAAAGGTAGTTCTCCCCCTTTGCAACACAATCTATAGGCCATTCTCTCCTTCCAGCCCTCCTCGGTTCCGATTTCCATTAACTGACTTTTTCCAAAGTTGATCTTCAAGCCCGAAGCAAGTTCGAAAGTCCTCATAATGCATTTGATTGCCTGTATGTTCTCTTCCGAAGCCTCCCCAAAGAATATTGTGTCGTCGGCAAATTGGAGATGAGATACTACTACATTCCCGTTACCAATCCTCACCCCTTTGTACAAGTCTTTGTCCAGTGCCGATTGCATTAGCCCATTCAAACCTTCTGCCACTAATAGGAATAAAAAAGGAGAGAGCGGGTCGCCTTGTCTTATTCCCTTGTTGACCGAGAATTGCTTTGTAGGGCTTCCATTCACAAGGATCGAGATCATACTCGATTGGAAGCATTCCTTTATCCACTTTCTCCACGTAGCTGTGAATCCCGTCCTCATAAGCATATAATCAACAAAATCCCAGCTCACCTTATCGTAAGCTTTTTCAAAATCCACTTTGAATAGAAAACTCTTTATTCTCTTCCTTTTCGCTTCGTCGATCACTTCGTTTGCAATCACCACACCGTCCATCAGCTGTCTGCCTTCGATAAACGCCATCTGCTGCTCCCCTATGATCTTGCCCAGTACTTTCCTGAGGCGGTTGGCTAACAGCTTTGCAAGAATCTTATACATAACTCCAATGAGAGAAATTGGTCTGTACTCCTCAATTCTTTGGGGGTTTTCGACCTTTGGGATTAAGGTAATAAAGGAGGAGTTTGAACCTCTTACTATTTTACCATTCTCATGGAATTCCTGCACGAATCCTATTACATCTTGCTTTATTTCCTCCCACATTATCTTTATGACTCTAAAATTGAATCCATCCGGGCCCGGGGACTTTGTTGAGTCGCAATCCCACACTGCATTTTGAATTTCTTCTTCAGTGAATTTTGCCATCAGGAAATCATTGTCCGTATCAGCTAGTTGTCTAAAGTTGATTCCGTCCAGCTTTGGTCTTTGCCACTCTTCTTCTGTAAATAACCCCTTAAAATACTTTACCACACCCTCTCTGATCTCCGACACACCCCTACATTGCTCCCCATTGATCTGGATGCTATTGATTTCGTTCCTTCTCCATCTGCCCTTCACACTTCTGTGGTAAAATTTTGTGTTTGCGTCCCCCTCTTTCAGCCACATCTTTCTTGATTTCTGTTGCAGCATGCTCTCTTTGATTCTCATATTCTTCCACAGGTCGAGGAAACTGCTTCTCCTTATTTCAATGTCGTCTGCTGTGAGTTGGCTATTTTCTTCCTTCCTGTCCATTTCTGCTATGTTCTTTTCAGCTTCAGCTATTCTTCTGTCCACATCCGCCATGTTGTTTGCACTCCATTCCTTCAGGGCTTTTTTGGTTTTTTTCAGCTTTTCTTTGAGCCTGAATCCCATCCATCCACTCCCTACTTCTGAATTCCACGCCTGGCTTATCACCTGTTTGCAATCAGGATATTCTAACCAAGCGTCAAAAAATTTAAAAGGTTTTGGCCCCCAATCAACCTTTTCATTCTTTAATAACAGAGGGCAGTGATCAGACACTGTTCTTCCCAAACCCCACTGTTTTAAGTCGCTCCAATTCTTCATCCAGTCTTCAGACAGTAAGAATCTATCAATTCTGCTTCTATGTTGTCCATTAGCACTGTGCCAAGTGTACCTCCTACCCACCAAGGGTAAATCTACCAGCCCAGCTTCTTGAATAAAACTCTCAAACTCCCTCATTTCCCTGGTCGTCCCTCTGCAGCCTGCTCTGTCCTCTACTTTTCTTGCTGCGTTGAAATCTCCCCCCAAACACCAATTGCCCTTTCTGCTTGTAATCAGCTTCAACAACTCCTTCCATAATGCTCTTTTTTCTTCCAAGTGACATGAGGAGTAAATATTAAGTATATAGACAGGCAACCTATCCTCCCCCCATTCCCCAAAAACACCTATGAAATCTTTTCCTTCAATTACCTCTGTCTTTTTCAACACATCCCGACTCCATACACACAATAAGCCTCCAGACAAACCCACTGATGGTTTAAAGATCCATTCAAACTCATCGGTTCCCCATATACTTCTACAGGTACTTCGATTTACTACCTCTGCCTTCGTCTCCTGTAATGCTAAAAATTCTACTCCCTCTTTTTTTACCACTTCTCTAATTTTTCTTTTTTTCCCCAACCCTCCAAGCCCTCTAATATTAAAGGACATTATTATCATCACATAAATTGCTTACCCTCTTTGTTTCTACCGCCGCCCTCCTCACTAGATCTTCTCTGCTTTGTTTATCTCTACCCTCCATTTCGTTGATTTTTTGCAATATCTCCTCATCATTCTCCGCTGTGGCACCCAATCTTTTGGCTAAATCCCATATGTCCTTCGCTAGTTGGGTTTGCAATTGCTTTCTCAGGACTTGATTACAGTTTTGAATCCCGCTATCTCCAACCGAACCCCCTGCGATGTCACCATCTTGACTTGCTATGAACTTCGGCTCCATCTTCCCCTCCTTTGGTTTCTTGTTTTGCCTCCCTCTGTTTTTTCCCCTCTGTAACCCTGCATCTGCAGATCTCGACGTGAGGTACACCGAACTGCAGAGGCGGATTTTCTTCTTCCTTTTCTGCGAGAAGCCTTCCTTACCCCTCTTCGTCCTCTTCATCAGGTCCTCTTTACTTGCTCTGTCTTGCCCATCGTGATCCCCCATTTCTTCTTCGCTGACCACTGTTGCAGAGCCCCTATTTCCCGAGTATTCTGATTTGTTTGCTGAAGATGAATTAACACCCTCTGTTTGGTGAGGTCTACTAATGCCCAGCCCCATGTTTGTAGATATCACAAGGTTTGGGCTGCTTGTATGTGAAGTGGGCTGCCTTCTATGGCCCAAATTTGTTTTTTTTTCCAGGCCCAGCCTCTTGCTTCTCCCTTCATTTGAAACCTCTGTCATATCATCCCCCCCCGCCTCCTGCACCACTCTCTCTTCTGTTTTTCGGATCAATTCTCCATTTGAATTTTGAAAACATTCCAAGCTGTCCGCCACTCTCTCCACTGTCTCCTCTTCCTCCTGTTGCACGTGTGAATGGGACATGCCCCCTAACGTTCCTCTGTCACGATCCACGTCATCATCTTCAAGCTCGAGCTCCCTTGAGATGTCGATCCCCTGATCTTCCTCTACTGCTTTTTCACATCCATAATCCTCTGTCTCACTCCCTATTGACCATGATTCATGTTCCTCTGAATCGCTTTGGAAATGGGGTAAAAAATCTTGTTTTAAAGAGAAGAAACTATTGGAAAATTCCTCCTCCGAAAACTTGACGGTATACAGGGATCCATTGATTTTGATTTCTCTCGACACTGAAATGGAGTTCATGATCGGGGTTGATATTAGGAATCTAGCTATGTCAAACCTCCTTCTTTGGCTTGTGCTATCATCCAAACATATGAACTTGCCCCATGAACACCCCATAGATTCAAAAAAACCAGGACCCCAAACGTTCAAAGGTACTCCTTGGCACCTTATCCACACGAATCTTTCTTTCGCTACCAATTCTGGAGACCAAGGGCACACCTTTTCGAACCATTGACCCAGCCATTCTGATGCCGATTCAACCAAATCTTTCAACTCTTCTTTGTCTTCACAATCCATCAGTACCAATTTTCCTCCCATTGCTCGAACTCTGCAGGTGAAATAACCTTCCATATAAAATTTTTCCTGCAAGTTCCTGACCATTTCTACAGAGTGGGTCGTTCCCACATAGCATCCCTCCAGCCATGTGGATTCTTCTTTGTTGGTGTTATACTCGAAGCCAGCCCAGGAATCCTTCTTTCCCTTCTCGACCCATATCTTCTTTTTGTCCATTATCTGGTCTTCCCATGTGACGTTTTTTCTGTCCTGCTCTGTATCCATTCCGAAATCCCCCCTGCTCCTATCTGCATCCCCTTTTCCATGTCTACTCGTTTGATGCCCCTTCACCACTTCTGCGTATGACCTATTCTGCACTTGTAGCTCTGGTACATGACTTGTTTTGATCTCCCTTCCCTTCTGCTGGATGTCGTTGTACCTTGGGTAGTTTACCCATAGTTTGCAGTCACCAATCCAGATGTTGTCCAGCTTTCTTTCAAGCTCTTTCCTATCCTTAACTCCCAGGAATCTTACAAATCCAAATCTACTGCCATTTCTGCTTCTTCTAGGTGGGCTATAAATGTCGAAAACCCTCCCATACTTCATAAAGGTTCTCCACATATCCTCATGTGACCATTCTTCTGTGAAATTTGTGAAAAAAAAGGGCGTTGCTTGTTTATACAAGCCCCAATCATATGAGTCACCAAGCTTCCTTCTCCGCGCCTGATTCTGATTAACCTGATAGTCCTGCTTTCCTTCTGCAATCATCCTCCTCTGTTGAAGTTTCCATGAAGATCTACCGTGCTCTCTGCTCTGTGCCGTCCACCTTTCCCGTGTCCGGAAGTCGCCTCCTCTCTCTCTCACTCTGCCTCTCTCTCTCATCTTTTTTTTACCACTCAATAATTAATATGTGAAAATTGTATAAAAATGTAGTATAAAAAGGTTATTTTTATATTACTACCCTTTTATTAAAGGCAAATTATCTATATCACAATTAGAAGATTAATAAAAAAATTATATTTCAAGTTAATTTTATTTGAACCAAAGTTAAATATTTATCTCTTTTTAAAGACAAATGTGAAACAATCATTGGAAAAGATATCAACCATAATAAGAGACTCTGAATGATTTGATGATATAAATTCCTACCATAAAAAACCATTTGTTTGTTTTCCTGGAGTAGCGGTATTTTGTAAGAGATCAATTTTGGGGCTTGTTCAAGTTTTGAGTTTAGATTGCGTTGCTCAATATTAACATCTTGAAATTATAGCAGAAATTAGGGTATAATGCAAAACCCTAGACTCTAGAGTTTCTTCTAATATTTGATATGTTATTTTCGTTTTAAATTTTAAAAATGAATCTTACAAACAACAAAGAATCTAAAAATTAGAGAGACTTTAAATACAAACAACATCATAATTAACTTGGTAGTTATTAATTAAAAATTTTTAATTTATAATCTTAATAAAAAAAATTAAACTTTTACCATACCCAATAACTAATAACTTTGAATAAAAACAAAAGTTACGTACAGAATTCTTTGAAAAACCCAACGAACAGACACTCTAATAATGCTTTTATTAAATTTTATCATTTTAATAAGAATCAGAATAACTTTCTTATGACTTTCGTCATAAATAAATACGCACGTTATTCTCTTTTTTAATATACTTATATAATTAAATGTGAGATTGATATAGCCAACATTGTGTTAACCTTGACAAGACACAAGACATACTTTCTCATCAACTTGCATATTAAATAACCAGGGAAATTATTTTTCCTTTTCAATTATTAACTTATGTGCATACATGTACGTGTACAAATTGGAAAAGGCCCAGAACTCGACCCTAATTAAATTGCAAAAAATTAAGAACTCAAAGGTTATGAGCAGTAAAACAGCAAGTGAAAACAAAACATGGAAAGATTGTGAGCTGAATTAAGCAGGAAAAATAAGAGTATGAGACTTCTAAATTTATGTTGGGTCAAGAGAAAACAACGTGCTTCCCACCTCCCACGCGCACCCGACCCACCAATACCCTAATTTTCCCAAATCCCTCCTTTATATATATTCATATTTTTAATTAATTATTACTGGGGAAGTTGAAGTTCTTCAAGACAGAAAAAAAAAAAAAAAAACGCTTATCTCCACAAATCAAATTACAACACTGCTTCGACCTGGAAAGGAAGAAAGGAACTTCCGTCTGATCCAATCTTGTTTTGTGCTCTATACAATCTATGTTCCTTTTATATGCTTCTTAGTTTTCTCTCTTAGTGCTTTAGTTTATTCATTCTCTTTCTCTCTCTCTCTCCTCCTCTTTTTCTTCTCTCATCTTTCTCTCTCTTTCTCTATGCTTGATTCTATCAAGGGCGTGTGCCTCAATTTCATCTGTTCAAAGATGATGATCAGATCATTTCTGGGTCGTTAGATCTTTTGAGTTCATTCATTTTATCCGTAGGCTTGATCATCATCTCCTTTGCTTGATTCAATCCGCAATTGCATCTAATTCTTCGTTTGTTTTCTCACTCTCTTCATTCTGCAAAAGTATCTAGAAGAAACCTGTGCTGTTAGGGCAGAAAACTGTTTCCTCAAAAAAATTTGAAGGAAATCAGGTTCAGATCTTGTGCTTAGGGCAGAAAGAAAATCCTTTCTTTCTTTAGCTCTCTGATTCTACAACACAAGAAGAAAATAAGGTCAACTGTTGGGTTTTAGATCATATTTTGTCTGAATTAATATCGCAAGGCTGGCAAATCCGTGGTGGGTAAACTCGGTTGGCCTGGCTGGCATGGACCCGGCGGCCAACTCACAAGTCCTCAGCAAACGGGACTTGGATATCTCCATGAACGATTCCGGAAGCAATAAGAGCAGCGGCAGGGGAGATGAAGATGAGGATAGGGATACTGGGGATGAGCCTAAAGAGGGAGCGGTTGAAGTGGGTACCCGGAGACCAAGGGGCCGTCCCCCTGGATCCAAGAATAAGCCCAAACCGCCCATCTTTGTCACCCGGGACAGTCCCAACGCGCTCCGCAGCCATGTCATGGAGGTTGCTAGCGGGACCGATGTGGCGGAGAGCATAGCTCAGTTTGCGAGAAGGCGGCAGCGTGGAGTTTGCGTGCTCAGCGGCAGTGGTACGGTGGCCAACGTGACTCTGCGGCAACCGGCGGCGCCTGGAGCTGTGGTGGCTCTTCATGGAAGGTTTGAGATTTTGTCTCTGACAGGAGCTTTCCTGCCCGGCCCGGCTCCACCAGGGTCAACCGGGCTGACGGTGTACTTGTCTGGTGGACAGGGTCAGGTGGTGGGAGGAAGCGTGGTGGGGTCGCTGGTGGCGGCGGGCCCCGTCATGGTTGTTGCTGCAACATTTGCTAATGCCACCTATGAAAGATTGCCTCTAGAAGAGGATGAAGAGGGAGGTGGACATGGTCAGATCCAAGGCGGTGGTGGGAATTCACCGCCGGCAATCGGGAGCAGCGGTCAGCAGACTGGTCTGCCAGATCCAACATCCTTGTCTCCCGGCTTGTACAATCTACCTCCTAACCTACTACCCAATGGTGGGCAGCTAGGGCATGAAGCATATGGTTGGGCACACGGCGGACGGCCGTTCTGACGCCGGCTGCAGCCAGGAGATTTTATATAAAGATGGGTGCGAATCTCTTTCGCCTTTTACTCACAGTACTGCTTGTGTTGTATTTAAGGGTGTAGGGATAGGAATTGAGAACAAAAGAGAAAACTCATAGTAGTTCTCATTCTGTATATTAAAAACTCATCATCATCTCTTTCCTTTGCCTCTTTTTATGTTTGAAATAAAAGATGATTAGCTGTTTTTAATAATCCATAATTGTCTGAATTTCAATTATTAATTTAAAACTATTGTTCATCTCTTTGTGTTTTCTGTCTGGAAATTCTGCTTAATTAAAAGATCTCTTCTTATTTAATAGAAAAAGGCATCATAATGATTAGGGATTCTCTAATTAAACCCCACAACCATTTCCCCAATCTACAATTCAGACTTTATTAATCATCCACACTGATCAGTGCAGTTCATGTTTTGAGTTTTGTGGCAGGATTTACCTTTGTTTGCGCTAACAAAGGTATATCTGTTCCTGATGATGAAGGCCAATATATGAATTCTCTAATTATGTACATATATAAATGTGATGAATGGAAAATGACTTATACACTCAGTTCAATACGATTTCTAACATTTGTTCAAGTTCAATTATTAGAATGTAATATATACGTGTAGCTGATTTAATTGGTTATTGTATCCTATATGCATAGTTACATCTTCTTTAAGTTTGTCTGTTTTTAATTTCATATAAAAAATAATAATTTTTTTAATAAATGTGTTCCATATTGTGTTAAATAAGAGAGAATATACCAATCATAGTCCCAAATGAACACTTTTAATTATTTTTTTTTTAATATTTGTTAATTGATATTATAAAAGTTTGAATCTTAAATCTAATTTTTTTTATGAGAACCTTAAATGGGTTGATTTTTAAATTAAGATTTTTAACTTAGTGAATGTATTTTAAAAGGAAAATAGCTCAGAAAAAATTTTTAAAAGAAAAGGTGTTTGTCAATTAGAGTTCTAAAAAATTAAAAGAAAAAATGCCTTAAATTTACATTATTTTAATAAATTTTCATTGAAAAAGACTAAAATAACCTATTTTAAAACCATAAATAAGTTTATTTTGGTCTTTGCTCTTAATACTTTAATAAAATTACGTAGTTTTAAACTGTTTTTCTTCCTAAACTTTTTTAGATCCGACTAACAAACACTAATTCCATTTTAAAATATCTTGAAACTTTATATTGATTTTAGAGAAATGAACTTATATTTTTTGTGGGACAAGCCAATTGGTTGAAACCCTCATGAACAAGAGGATTGAGGGTTTGAATCCTAACTATATGGGTAAAAAAATATATTTTTATTAATAATTTAGCTAATTATTTTATAGGCTTTCCTCACAAAATTTATATATTTAATTTCAATAAAACTTGCAAAAAAGATTAGATCAAAAGATCAATGATGGTTGAATAAACTATGTATTTATCAATATTACATTACAGTAGACCTTAATTTTGTTTTGAAAAAATATAAGATTATAAACCTTGATTTAAAAAATTAACAGAAAAGTGCATTCATTGTTAATAAAGTCTATTTTGTACCCACAAAAAAAAAAAAAGACTATTAAAATGACGTTGTTTAGTCACTTTTGTGTATGTGCATATAGCTAGGCTTTTTAATGTATATATTTCAAATAATCTCGTTTTAGATATATTTATCGGACGTGTGAGTTTCAAAATGATGTTGTTTAAGATCAAATATCCTTCATGACTTGATCAATAAATTTCGATCAAAACAACATCGTTCTAGATTTATAAAGAGAAATAATTGGTACATATTTTGTTCAACATATTTTTTTTATACTTGTTCAATTTAGCTATTAATATCATATAAGCATAGTCAATTCAGTTAATTCTTACATTTTATATACATAATTGCTTTTTTAAATTTATTTGCTTTTAATTTCTTTTTTTTTTATAAAAGTAAAAGGTTTGGAGTAGAGTTCCATGATATGGGGTTGTAGGTTAAAAGATAAGAGATAATATGATTTTCTCTTATTGCATTAACCATATAATTAATAAAAAAAAAAACTGGCTTAACACGGTGTTTTTGTTTTATAATGCACTATGTTCAAGAAATAATATGTAGGTTGTGAAAGACATTCTCCTTTCTTGGATTTACTTTTCAGTGAAGCAAAATGCATAGTTGTGTGGTAAGAAAATTGATCAGTGACATTAGTCTGATCTGCCCAAAGCAGGTTCTTTCATTTCCTGTGTAATTTGTGTGGCTCCCATTAGGGTTTCTCATCTTACCTTTTTAAGAGGTAATTTGAGAAATGTTTAAGTTGATTTTGGTATGTGAAAAAATGTGTACGCAAAGCTAATAAATACCTAATTTAAAATTAACTGACATGGTTTGGTCATTTTACTTTAATCACATATATATTTGTTATTATTTCAATGTAAGATTTTTATTTTTATTTTATTTTTCATTTAACATGATGGATATAAATTACTGACAATACGGTTTCTAGCTAGTTCATTTTGGTCCATTCCCACTTACTGTGCGACAATACTTCATATCATTCATTATGTCAAAAGCACCCTCTTTCATGGAACTTCATTTCTTGGCTTGTTCTTTACTCGAGTTCCGTGCTTACTGTGATGCCAATTGGGCAGGAGAAACGTCACAAGTCACAAATCATCAATCCACTATTGGTCATTGACCCTAGCTATTTGGTTTAACTGAAAAAGAACAGTTGATGATTGATAATTAACATTCAATTAATGAATTAATTTAGTCTCTAAGCATTAGAGAATGATGGGATTGCATCTGGAACACAATGGTCTAATCCGTGTGGGTTGCACGAAATCAAAAGATTTTTCAAGATTCAGAGGCAAATAGGGGTAAGATATTTGAACTTATTCAATTGAGATCTTTTGTATGGATTAAGGTAAAGAAAGCTAGGTGTTACTTCAATCTTTGAGACTGGTTGCAAGATCCAATTTCATGCCTTACTACTAACTGGGGGGGTGGGGGAATTGAGTAAATTGGAGAAGGATAGGTTTGAAAGATGGGGGTAACTTGAATTGGCTGGTATTTTTGCGTGTTTGTAAATGGGTTTGAGTACCCCTTGTACTCAGTTTCTTATTAAAAATATTATTTGGCTTTTCAAAAAAAAAATTAATTTAGTCTCTAAAGATATATCTCAACTAATAAGGACTAAAACTTTTAAATTGATGAAGTAGGTATCTTCAACTGGATGAAATGCAGAATGAAAAGCTGCCTCTTCTCATTGTCAGATTGGTTCTAGGACCCGGTATCTTGCTTAAGAGGTGCTGCAGCAAGAAGAAGGCAAAACAGGGTGACAATACTAGGTTAAATAACTGAATTCATAGGAAGGGACCATCGATTTTTTCCAAGGTCAAGTGTATTTTGGGGAATTTGTTGTTGAATAAGCATAGATTCCTGTAAAAGGTTTGGAGTACACCCAATACTACTCGTAATAAAAACATTTCTTTGCTTTTCAAAAAAAAAAAATTTGATGAAGTAGGTCTACAAATTTGAATTTTAAATAGGTAACAAAGAATGAACTAGGAAAAAGGGAAAGACTATTTACCTCTTTTACTGCATTTAATAATGGGCTCTATACATCAAAGAAGAACGACCATAAACTAATTTTCCTAATTCAAACAGATCATAATGAGGAAATAAAAAATTAATTGGAGTCATCTTAATAAACTACTAGTTTTATAGGATCTTTCTGCTCTAGGAAAAAAGTTACATTCAGAACGAGCCATTGATGAAGAGAAATATGGATAAACCGTTAAAAAGTCGTAACCTAAATCAATAAAATTATGATTAAGGAGTAGGGGTTTCGTAGCACATTGTCTGTAGCAATGTCTAAAAGCTGAAAAAGTTTTGTAATAATAACAAAGAAAGTTTAGACAAACTTTTACTCACTAATTCTTTTTATTTGATTTCCTGTTTACTTAACAGTTTTTCTAGGCACTTTTTTCCCCTTTTTAATTGTCATTCTTTAAAATCAATATATATAACATTAATATTATTGTCATGATCACGATTTTTTTCTCAATAGTCCACTAACCTTACCTAGAGCAGATACACATCTAAAACTAGTTAATGGAGGGTAATTTGGCTAACACATTTGGTAACTTCCTTGAATCTTGTGCTAACAGCTTAAACCAACAATTTTTGAGATGAAACAAAATTTTATTTATCTAAATTATAAGGGATACTTCTACCCGTGTACGTTGAAAAACTAGTATAAGATTAAGACAAGATAACCACTTGTGAATTTACTAAATTGGAATCTGCCAAGACAACATAAATATCTAATTTATGCATAAATAAAGGTTTTATTTTTAACAGAAAAAAAGAATAATTTTATTGTTTGGAAGTACAAAGAATACTCCATCTCCTTACATTCATATTAACAATGTCTCAAAAAGAGAGGTACAACTTATGCATTTATAATGCATAAATAAGGGGGTCTAATTGGAATTTGAGATTACTTAATTATTTAAATATAGTTAATAATTAATATTTTATAATTAATAATCATTTTTAATTATAATATAAAATATATATCTATTCAAATAGAACTAATAGTTAATAGTTGTTTCAAAAAGTTAAAACAAACCTCTCTAAATATTAAAAGGAGGGAGTAGTTATGTTTCTATCGAACTAATAGTAAATCACACTAATGTTCTATCAACACTCAGAGGATCCTAGCCAAACATGAAGGCCCCTCTTCACATGAATTCACGTGTCCTCGGTTAATAAACCCTAACAAAAAAATAGTGTACACAAAATGTACACAACCTTCTAACGCTAAAGTCTCAACCCTCCATTTTGATTTGGACCCACCTTAATTTGTTCAATTATTAGCACCATTAATTCTTAATTAGCCAAATTGATTAAGTCATTTAATTAATCCCCATATAAAGAAAAGACACCCATTAAAAACAAAGTATTCCTTCTTTTTGTTGCATTTTGGCTTTCCAAGTGTTGTCACCCTACCCACTTGTTAGATTATAGCTTTCTCAATAATTTCAAAACGAAAATTCATCTACTAATGCTTCATTAAGGAAATATAAACCACACAATAACCAAAACTTAGTTTAAAATTAAAATATTTTCAGCCCAAGAAATGGCCAATAACAAGTTTTAACTTTTCTTGCTTCAAAGTCCATTGCTTTGATCGCCAAAATTCAATTCATACCTTATCCCATCCGCCCCCGGTTTTCGTGGAATACACGTCATCATATTTATATATATATATATATATAAATCGACCCCCAATTAAAGAACATTTTAACCTAACTGCTTTCCAAAGGCCAATTAGATGTGTAGTCTTTCGGGTCTTTTCAGATAGTCAAAAGGCAGATTATATAAAGAACAAACTTGAGATGTGTTAGGTTCACAAACAGGGGTCTTTTCTTGGGCACGATCGAATCGTCGACAAATTGAGTAGAACCCTAGAATGTGGATTCAATATTTTTTCTGATCTATATGGAGTATTATTTTTAGTTATCATAATATTCTTGTACTAGTGATAAGTATTACAGGTATCTGTAAATCGTTGGATTCATAAATATGAGACAAATCAGGTTTCGAATCTTACATTTCATTAAAGTTCTGAGCTGTACATCTATGAACCAATAGGTTCTGTGTAATAATATGTATTTGTGGGATTGAGTTGTGTTATATATAATTAATTATAAGATAATGATTAGTATATTTTTTATTTCAATATATATCATAAGTTATTTATTAAAAAATTATTATTTTTAAATTTGAATCAATTTATAAAAAATTTTAATTGTAAAATTTAATAACTAAACCAATAAATGATAACAATGTATTGAATTAAAGAATGCACAAATCATTTTCCTTAATTATTTATCAGTTGGTCCTGTTAAGAATATGTCAAGAATAAAAGAGGAATCCTGCCATACGATATGATTAATTAATTTATAAGGATTGGTTTTTCTAGTATTTCTATTAAAATATTAATATTGACTATGGAGTTATTGGATCCCCTGATGCTTAAATTGGCAGCACACATGGAAGCCACAAGCCTAACAGTAATAAGTTATAGAATAAGTTTTTTCTTTTCCTTTTCCTTTTTTTTTTTTAAAGTAAAGGAAAAGTGTAAAGTTTTGTTTAGGGGCAGTAATTTTTTTAATGTTGCTTAATAGTAAGCTAGATTTTTTTTTTCATTTTTTATGAAAAATATGAATCCTTCATTAAAGGCTTAATGGATACTTGTTGACATTTAGCCATATGTCTGGAGAATTTTGTTGCCATTAAATTTTCATTAAAATAAGTAATTAATATCAACTGTAACAAGAAAATGTAATGGGATCTCATCAAATTAAATCCTACAAACAATTGCAACAGAGAGGCATAAAGCTACATAAACTATAAACCTTTTTTTTATACATAAACTGTAAACTAAATTAATAGTTCTTACCGACAAATCAAATTATTTAAGGTTTGTAATCTTACCTAACTTTCTCGTAGGTATCTTCATCTCAAGCTTTAGTATATGGTGTCATTTTAAAAAAATAAAAATCATGACTCAATGATTTAAATAATTTAGTAATAATTTTTTTAAAAAAAAGTAAAATATATTAAATTTGAATTATAAATATCCAAGTTAAGCGAGTTAAAAAAAAATAGAAAGGAGATGTATGCCTCTTACGATAAAATTGAAGGTTAAAAAAAAAAATCATAAAGATGAAGCTACCCCCTTTTCACCTCTATCTAAACAAGCCTAATTTGAAGTTTTGAACAGACCAGCACTACTGCGCGTCCAGATCAAAATCTAGTAGTCCTAGGACAAAATACTATCAATGTTTGACAATATTAAAACATTTTTTAATGCTCAGAAAATTTATCCATGTTAAATTAATAAATAAATTGTGCTCCAAAATACAATAAAAGCGATGTGCATGTACATGTTATGTGTAAAGGACAGTGATTGGTATACATTTTGATTCAATACATTGCATAATATACTCATAAAAAAATCATTATTTTTTAATCTAAAATTAAAAACAGACAAATTTAATTATATAATCATGCACACATGATACAAGAACAAGTTGAATTGACTGTATTTATATTATATTTTTAGTGACTAAACCAAAAGTGTATCAGAAAAAGTGTTGAACCGAGAATATACCAATCATTTTCCTATGTGTAAATTATCCAAGTTTGCTGTTATGTGTGTAACTCATGGAGCTTTTGTCATTTACCCATGATTTTAATATGGAATGCCATGCTCTAACAATTTAATAAACATTTAAAACTATCAATTTGTTGTCAAAGAAAATCTTAAGGACGCTTGGATCATAATCTGGGTATGCTATTATTTGGGCTATGGAGGAACCAGTTGGTGTTAAAAAATGAGAAAGTAAATTGGAAAGAGGTACTTTAACCTGTAAAAATTAGATCCTTTCACTGGCTTAAAGCAACTAAGTAATGGCCTAATTTATAATTCGAGTTATGGCGCAATACACATAGAGAAGCACTGGAAGCTGCTGGTGATTAATCTATTCTTCTCATTGGTTTTATTAGTTTGGCTTTGTTGTTTGATCATTGTTGAATTAGTATGGATTTGAGTACTCCTCATACTTCATTTCTTAATAAAAATCTTATTTCGTTGATTT